TATTGGTTGGTGTAGCGCTGTTTCATTAATTTTTTTCTTTTCTCTAAATAAATGTATAACACCATCACTCTGAATCAATATTGAATGTAATACAAAAAATAATAAGTGCAAAATCCAAAAATCATATGAATACAAACTGTTCCAAAGAAATATGGTGATATCATATCAGATTAGGTGATATCATATACAAGTCCTCAAAAGCATATAGTGAGAATTTCTGTGACCACTTAATACATCTAACACCTAGTAACTCACAATCGGGGACACTCCTTCAATGCCATCAGCACAATTATATGCCTCTTACCGGATTCAGGGACCCCTTATTATATGGAGCTTAGAAGGGCTTTCCAACAGTGCTAGATAAATGATATCTGGTCAAGAACTACTCCAACAAACCCAAGTTATTTCTCTTCAGTTCCAGGAATACTCACATTACACGTTATCTTGCCAAAGAAAAAATCACACAAAGTGTAACCCATAAAAGTGATCCAGATTTATTGTTAACATAATATATACACAAAGCAGCAGAGAAAACATAGCACATCAAAACTCCACCATGTGGAGTGTGCAGCGATGTCAGATCACGTGCCCCACCCTGCGCATGTTCCATCAGAAATGAAGATGTAATTTCTGACTCAAGGTGGTATAAGATCAGGGGTGGACTGACCATTAGAGCACTCGGGCACTGCCCGAGAGCCCAATGTAAGTAGGGGGCCCCGTGAAATGCCCCTGGTACCTTTTATAGGCTTTTTTGGGTGTGCTTTGAGTGTAGTCAAGGACACAGGGGCCCCATGATCCCCTATTGCCCAGAGGCCCCATGAACTGTCAGTCCTCCCCTGTATAAGATATCACCTATTGTGGAGAACTCTAGATTTCTTTGGGACAGGCTTGACCAGCCAACAACCAAGTTTGACATGGACAGCTGCACAGCCCTGGATGCAAAGGGTCTGTGCACGTCCCTGTCTATCTGTCACATTTGGTCATGCAGGTAAGTCCATACCACCGATGTGTGTCCATTCACTAATATGAGCTTTCTGCATGCAGCTTGGTGCTAGGACAAAAAAAAAAGAAAGTTTTTCGAGGGGAGTTCCACTTAGAAAACTATTTAGGTGTATAAATGTATAAGGTTTAATAGGAGCTGAGGCACTGATGCTGCAGGCAAAGCAAGAGCCTTTCAAAGCCTGCTAACATAACCCTGCCAAATGTAGAGCCCTGTCGCTCTCTGCACCTGGATGTTAAATTAAGACAAGGACTCTCCGTGTTTCCTACCCTTATCAGATTCTTTGTTTCAGATAATCAGTAAGTGTGCTGCCTGCTTTGTAGATGCAAGTGTAGATGTACATCTGGTCTAGAAGAAGGTGAGACGGGGGCTCTGAGGCTAATATACTAATGATTTAGTGACTCTGCCTTCACTTAGAGCTGCAAATTTCTATATTTTTTATTTTCCTAAGAAAACCAATAGCAAAATGTTTTTTAAATATAAAAGTTGTCACTTATGCTAGGTCCATAATATTGCTGAGTCCGTTTGGCAGTTCATTCATTTAAACGGGCTGCTGTCCCTGCAGGAAGCACATAGAAAGGGTCCCTGCACTTTTTTTAAAATTGTGACCACAGGGAAACCACATAGTGGTAACATAATTACATAGTTAGTATGGCTGAAAAAAGACAAAAAAGTCCATCCAGTTCAACCATAGAAAAAAAAGTTATAGTCCTATACCCGCAGTTGATCCAGTGGAAGGCAAAAAACCCCCAAGCAAAGCATGATCCAATTTGCTCCTGCTGGGAAAAAAAATCCTTTCTGATCCCCCGAGAGACAATTGGATATTCCCTGGACAGCGTGTTTTTGTTGTGGGTGTGGGGGGGGGCGTGCGAGGGGCAGTTCCGCACCTGCATTGATGTGAACCTAGCCTTAGAAACGTTCACTAATTAATGGGAAATACACTGTAGCATTTAGTGCTGGCATTGCTGCAACAGTACAATACTACAAACAAAAAGAAAAAAAGTGCAGGTTAAAGGGGAGTGCGGGTGCAAGTCCCCGAACAGTGTGAGTTTGGGGACGTGCTGCCACATGAATGTCAAATTGGGAGCGGTGGCCATGTCCATGCAGCCACTGAGTCCCAACAGACTGGAATGGGACTGCCTGCAAGCAGATGCACGGAACACCAGTGTATCTTATGGGAACAAATACGCTAAAGTACCCCAGTGTGAACAAAGCCTCTGTTAGTTATTATTGCTGTAATAGAGTTACTGGAAACGTATTAAACATTATTATATTAGTGTAAATTTGTACAAATATATAAAAATAAAGGCACACACATTAGGTTGTTGGCTCCACATGATGTACAAACCACAATCTCCCGGGCTATATGTATTGCCTGCAACAACAGTTGTAAAGAATATACATGTAGTTACTGAATAAAAAGTATGTAACAGGTTATCACTGTGTAATTTTTCCAGCATGGTTGTATTCGTATTACAGTATTTGTACTACAACTACAGGGATAGCATATTATAGGTTTTTCTTAGAATATCACTTCAGAGCTCAATGCTCGCTATTCCTGCATAGACCAAATATGTCAAGGTTCATATCATTTTGATCCAATTGAAAAAAAACTTGAGTATCTCTCTGGAAATGGTTGCTCGCTGCTCCTCTGAATATCAGTCCATGAGTTTTTTTAAAGAATTCTTAGTGATAATTTACCTTCACCTTATTTGAATATGCTCACCATTAATGCCAGCATCCATATATCAGCATAGTCAATATAGTACCACTTTTAATCCTGTTGGATTTATCGCTGTCTAACACACTATAGCCTAGTCCATACACACTTTATGGCTGTGTGTGTTTTGTAAACATCCTTATAAATATATGTATGAGTAGTACCATAACAGGAGAAATATTCATAAGTCCCCAGGGACACGTAATTCTGGAACTTGAATGATTATCCACTGATGAGATGATAACATTCCCACACATGAATTTGAGCAAGCAAAAGTCAATATCAATGTCAACATATAGTTTTCCAGAAAATGCAATTGCTGGTTTACAGTATACGCATATGATATACAATATATATATATGTATATCATAGGGGTTGGACAAAATTATGGAAACACCAGGTAAAAGAACAAAATCATTACCTAATGTGGTGTTGGACTGTCTTTGGCACCCAAAACAGCCTGCATTCTACTGGGAATTGACAAATATATGTCTTGGATGGTGGATAATGAAACCTGATACCACTCTTCATGCAAAAATTGCTCTAGTTCTTGCAGAGATGCTAGAGGCGGAAAAAGAGCCTGAACCTTGTTCTCCAAAATTGACCACAGTAGCTCTATGATATTGAGCTCTGGCGGCTACAGCTCCCAAGGAAGGAGCAAGACTTTGTCTGCATGCTTGTCAAACCACAATTTGGCAACACCAGCTGTGTGAATCGAAGCATTATCATCTTGGTAAATGGCACTATCTTCGGGAAGCAATGTCTGCACCATGGGGTGCACAGTTGGCCAAAATTTATACATAGTCACTGGCAGTGACTCTACATTTCAAGGTGATGATTGCGTCTGCAGAATACCAAAACATGGTTGCCCAAACCATGATTGCCCCACCTCCATGCTTTACCTTTGGCACAAGACAGTCCTTGTTGTGAGCTTGGGACGGTGTTTGCCACATGTAAACCTGTCCGGTGGTTGCGAACAGCGTGATGCTCGATTCATCGGACCATATTATATTTTTTCATTGATTGATAGTCTAGTGATGTGGCAACTGCAGCTCGCCCATGAATGTTTTGCTTATGGAGTTCACTCTGCACAGTTTTTGTGGACATGAGCTTTGGAAGACTGAGATTGAGCTCTGCAGTTACTTTTGCAGCAGTTGTGTTCTTATTCCAGGTCACAATTCTGCGCAATGTCCTTTTGTCTCTTTCAGTCAGTTGACCATGTCCATCGTGCTTATGCTTTCCCTGAAACTGTACATGCAGTCATAACCTTTGACACTGTACCTCACGACAAGGGAAATAAATTGGTAACTTCAGTCACAGAGGCACCAGCTAATTGGCACCAACAGTTTGCCCTCCTTGAAGCTCAGTAAGCTCTGACATGATTCCGTATTACTAGCAGCGCAAACAGTGATTGATAAAAGTGAGACTTCCCACCTGTTACCTAGGTGTCTCATCACTCAGCAGAAGCAAGAGAGTGTTACATCACTTCTACTTTCAGCACAAAACATGTCGTCACTTTCACACCTGCAAATTGTGTAGTGTTTCTTTTTTGTCTGATGTGTGTGTGTGTATATATATATATATATATAAAAACATATACATATACACATACACATACACACACACACACACACACATACAACAACCTCCTTGACATATACATATACACAGTGCTCAGCATAAATGAGTACACCCCAACAAACCTGTCAGAAAACCTTTACTTTTCCTATAGAATCAACATTTTCTATGGGACACTATACTACAAAATACTCCCACAAATGTGGGCCATTGATTGCAAACAAGATTTGTTAATTTGCACACACAAAAAAGTATTTTTCCTAACAAATTCATTCAAGACCATGTTGCAAAAAATGTACACACCCCAATGAAAGTCTAAAATCCTAATTAACAAGAATTCAACTACAGGTGAGTCTAATTATACATTAAACAGACTGTCCCTTCGCAGACATTTGATTGTAAAAGGGCATTACTTAACAAAGAAAACCCCTTCCTATTTCATGCTGTCAGCCCCCAAGCCATGGCCTCCACCCCCTCCCTAGAAGAGAAATGTCATAAAGCCTGAGAAAACCCTTTGAAAATAATTTCTTTACACAAGAAAAATGTCGTGAAGGCTACAAAGAAGATCAGCAAAGCTTTACCTATCAGTCAGAATACTGTAACGAAAGTGATACAAAAATGTAACAAAGATGGAACTGCAACCATCGCACAGAGATGTCCAGGATGTCCATGGAAGTTAACACCTCGACAGGAGCGTCTTCAGATGAGAAGGGTTGAAGAAAATCGCCATGCAAATTTACTGCAATTAGCTAAAGAAGTAGAACGCCAAACTGGGGTGACTGTTTCCAGTGACACAATACAGCGTACACTGAAGAGGAATGGCATGCATGGGTGTCGTCCACAAAGGAAGCCTCTCCTAAAGCTCATGCATAAAAAAGCCTGCCTAGAATTTACTAGGGCACATGATGAAAAAGGAAGACTACTGGGACTCTGTACTCTGGAGTGATGAGTAATGTTTTGGAAATGATGGCTTCAAAGCTGTATGGCGTCGCAAAGGTGAGGAGTACAAAGACAAATGCATGGTGCCTTTCAATGAAACATGGTGGTGGCAGTGTCCTTCTATAGGGCTGCATGAGTGCTGCAGGTGTTGGGGAGCTGCATTTCATTGATGGTATCATGCATTCACGGATGTAGTGCTCTGTATTGAAAGAGAAGATGCTAACATCACTCCATGCCCTTCGTCGTGCACTTTTCCAACATACCGATGATCCAAAACACACATCTAAGGCCACTGTTTCATTTCTGAAGATAAACAGGGTGAAAGTGATTCAGTGACCAAGTATGTCTCCTGATATGAACCTAATCGAACAGATATGGGGAATTATGAAGAAGGCATGACTCTCCATCCAGCATTCAGGCTCTAAAATAGGTCGTTCTTGAAGAATGGAAAAAGATAGATGTTGCAATATGTCACCAACTTGTTCATTCTATGCCTAGAAGACTTGGTGCTGTCCTTACAAATCATGGAGGTCATACAAAATACTAGATGTAGTAGTTTTTGCTGTGGAGTGTATTTAATTTTGTATCAATTAATTTGAGTAAAACGGAAGATTTTGTAATCTAAGTTATATTATTAACCTTACTTTCATGTAATGAGCTAAACAGATGTTCTATAAATATACATAAAAATGCAGCACTAAAAATATAAATCCTGTATAATATCTTAATTAATATGAAGAAAAAGCACAAAAAAAACACTGTGAAGTGAATAAATGAGTCCCAGTGTCAATCAGGTGTCTTCAATTACTAGGATGATCAGACATATCGAAGTGCAACACGTGTCTTCCCACTCAGTGCTCAAGGAAGGCTTACCAGATGAATTATGTTATAGAATGGTCAAATTGGCCACAAATATAATCATATGACAACCGCTCCAGCCTCAACAGGCTGCAACCGTGGGTCAGACCACATTCACCCACTCCGTATGGGTCATCGATGTCAAGCATGTAACGGGCCAGCAGTCTTCAGGAGGGAAGGTGGGGTTTTCTCAGCTAAGCACATCCACCTGTCTGCATGTCTAAGCATGTACAATGGATGGGATGCAGCGGCCCGCTCACATCCAGCAATCACACGAGCATAAGGACACATTAGAAGCCCAGCAAGCACAAAATGGCAGCTGAGGGCATCTACTGTGTCTCCACGCCAACTTCAGTTAGGAAACTATACAAAAATGGCAACCGCCCCAATTTATAACTAGCTTTTAAAGTAAGATGCATGCTGCTGGCATTGTTCTTAATTTTGACAAACATAGATTTATGCAGTGTTTGGCCTGTTTTTGGTAGAGTTAAAATGTTCAAGTCTTGACTTATTAGAAAACATGGAAAGGAAACATTCCAAATACGTACAGTATCCTCAGATCGAGACCTCATTATAAACACATCCACGTGTCAGCAATGCCTAGGGGACACATCATGCTAGGGAATTTGTTTAAGAATTACCATCTACATTCTTGAATGATGAAAGACAGACAGGTGCAGAGAGAGGCCGAGAGAGACTATATACACAACAGAAAATATCTGTTTGTAGTCTAGGAAGGCTACCCTGAAAAAAGGTCGTACAGACAGTTAGAGACAAATAGATACACTATATTTCCAAAAGTATTGGGACACCCCTGCAATTCATTGGATTCAGGTGTTCCAATCACCTCCATGGCCACATGTGTATAAAATCAAGCACCTAGACATGCAGACTGCTTCTACAAACCTTTGTGAAAGAATGGGTCGCTCTCAGAAGCTCAGTGAATTCAAGCATGGTACTGTGATAGGTTGCTACTTGTGCAATAAGTCCATCCGTGAAATTTCTTTACTAAATATTCCACGGTCAACTCCTGGGGGTATTATAACAAAGTGGAAGCAACTGGGATCAACAAATCAGCCACAAAGTGGTAGGCCACGTAAAATGACAGAGCGTGGTCAGCCCATGCTAAAGCGCACAGTGCACAGTAGACGCAAACTGTATGAGTCAATAGCTAAACACCTCCAAACTTACTCCAAACTGTGGCCTTCAGATTAGCGCAACAACAGTGCATAGAGAGCTTCATGGAATGGAAGGAATGGGTTTCCATGGCCAAGCAGCTGCATCCAAGCCTTACAGTACATCACCAAGTGCAATGCAAAGCGTCGGATGCAGTGGTGTAAAGCTCGCCGCCACTGGACTGTAGAGCAGTGGAGTGACAAATCACGCTTCTCTGTCAGTCCGAGGGACATGTCTGGGTTTAGCAGTTGCCAGGAGAATGGAACTTGCCTGACTGCATTGTGCCAATTGTAAAGTTTGGTGGAGGGGGATTATGGTGTGGGGTTGTTCTTCAGGGGTTTGGCTTGGCCCCTTAGTTCCAGTGACAATTTCATGCTCCCAACTTTGTGGGAACAGTTTGGGGATGGCCCCTTCCTGCTCCTACATGACTGCGCACCAGTGCACAAATCAAGGTCTATAAAGACATGGATGAGCGAATATGGGGTGGAGGAAGTTGACTGGCCTGCACAGAGTCCTGACCTCAACCCGATAGAACACCTTTGGGATGAATTAGAGTGGAGACTGCAAGCCAGGCCTTCTTGTCCAACACCAGTGCCTGACCTCACAAATGCACTTCTGTAAGAATGGTCAAACATTCCCATAGACACACTCCTAAACCTTGTAGACAGCCTTCCCAGAAGCTGCAAAGGGTGGGCCAACTCAATATTGAACCCTTTGGACTAAGAATAGGATGCCATTAAAGTTCACTGCATGTAAAAGCAGGCGCCCCAATACTTTTGGCAATATAGTGTATATATACAAACATACACACACACCAATCAGCCATAACATTAAAGCAGTATTAAACCCAATGATCAGACTTGTCCTGACACACACATATCCCCCCTCCCTGCCCAGCCTTTCACTGGGAGGATCAGTGTATTGCTGTTTCAACCTCCCCCAGCTCTGTGCAGCTGAGAACAAAGGGTATGTGATCACTTATGAAAAAGGGAAAAGGCTATTTAACATTTTTTTTTTTAAAGCTATATACAAATGTTTTACGTTTTATTTCTATATTAAACTAAATATTGTTTTATGAGGTGATGGTTTACAATCACTTTAGAATAAGGTTTATGTTAGGTAATGCAGGTTCAGGCGAGGAGACGGTTAAATGTTAGGGACCATTTACAATATTATGGCAATTAGAGAATTTTCAGGATTTACACTTGTTCTCTGTGCCAATAGCTCCTCATGAAAAAATGTCAGTGCCAAGACAGTTGTTAACATGCATCCATTATTTTCAACTGTTGTATAATTGTACAGATCAAGAAAATAGATTTTACTTTAGCCATAGCAGACCATCCAACTGCTCTGGGGCCCAAAAGTAAAGCTGGACTGAGGGAAAGGCAAGGAATGGCATCTGCTTCAGGCACTGTGCTGGAGTGGGCACAGCTGGCGTGGCCTCCACATCACCTGGCCAGCTGAAACTGTCAGTCCTGCTGGTGGCACTACGAGAGTGGCTCTCCTAAGATAATTACTGGTGATCCACTGTCGGTAACCTGCAGTGATACACTGTTAGTGTGTCTTGCTTTTCATTCATTTATACATGAAGACTTCATGAAGAGGGGGACAAAATGTGGGATCTTCACTTTGAGTGGCCTCGTCCCCAACCAATCATGTGCATGCAATTTTTCTTTTTATTTTCCATTTTTCATGCTTGACTATTGAAAGTGAACACAGGTTCGCCGTATTTACTTACTCACTATGCAACGTGAGCATACATCTTTAAGAGTGAACATTTACTTTGCTAAGTGCACAGCTGTTGCTTCTTCGACAAATCAACCTCTTCTATTTCAGAAATGTCGGAGGGCATGCTTTCATTGCAGCTTGTATGTGTGTGACAGTCTGGGTTAAAGAGGATTTTTCTGACTCAGGGTCATTTCCTAGTATTTAACTGCCATCTTGTGTTCAAGGGAACTTAATTTACACATTCCAACGTAAAAGCAAAACCATGACATCTTCTGCCTGCTCTCTGCTTAATGCATATTGTTTCAGTCTAAACTTAAAAAAAACGTAACAGCCATACGCTGGAACAAAACAAATACAACCAGTGAATATGGCAAGCTGAAAAGTTATATTTTAATGCACCCCAGGCACCTGAGCACAATGGAAAATTCCCACTAGGAAACCAAAAACCATGAATAAATCAATCTCTCGCAGAAAATCTGCGATCTTAGAGATAAAGTAATTTCCAGTGAACTGAGCTAGCCAGCTGTGGATTTATCTTACAATAGGAAATATCAAGTAGCTGCACTGTATCTCTACGCAAGTAAGGGATGTTACAGTTCATATGAAGTGTCATGGTGACAGAAATGATATGTGCATTTATTTGACTGCAAAAGGACTTCTATAGTAACGTGCCATAAATTACACTTCAGAATACATGTTTTTTTTTTTTAATTACTCATAATGCAACATTCAGCAGCCAAGATCTAGCAGGCATATGGAATTAACATGCTCTGTCTGATGACACCAAGAACATATTCCACTGCGACCATTTTTTCTTTAGAGTTTTTCATTGTCTTTCTGTTCCTAAGGTTTAGGCTTAAGAGTTATCTGTAACTGAGCTATTTTCTTTGTCAGTTCTCTAGAGAAAAGCTATGAGTATGTCCCTTGGGTTAATGAGATCATGGCTAGAAAACAACATTTGTCTAGCACCCTTCGAGAAATCAGGCCATCTTTTTATCCTTATGTGAACCTGACACGATATGGAAGCTTCATTTTATGAAATATACATTGCTTGTTCATCAGCTTTAATAATTGAAGGCAGCTCTTGACCATCATAACATGCTCTACCTGAAATATATTTGCTCTGCATTCTTCATGTCCTCATATATAAGCACTTTATCTCAGTATATTGTTTTAAAACAAGAGCTAAATGTTATTCTATATGGTGTGATCTGGGGGATGTTTAGCTCTTGTGGTAGATGTGCTTTTAAAGTGAGTTCAAGTCAGACAAAACTATGTTTAAGGGCCTGGTAGCCCAAAACAAATCAAAAGTCCAGCAGCGATAGGTTGCCCATGCAGAGGTTTAAGCTTCATACAAAAAAGGATTACCCGAAAATGCCGAGCCACCTGGTTCTTCAATCAGCAGCATCACTGCTCGCTTGGGTCTACCCGACTCTGGGCTCCTCAGACTTGCTCAGTCTGTGCTTGCAGTACCTTGCTGCATGGGATCTACTCCTGGTCTCTGGATAGGGTTCTCCCAGCACCCTGGGCTCTCCCACTTCTCTGGAACCCAGGGCTTCCTCCAGCCCCCTCTGTGGACTCACAAGTCACCTCAGCTTTTCCCTGTGTAGCTATTCTGACTTTCCC